ATTTCTGGTGCATTTACGCAGACATTCTGTTGGAAGACCAGCCCCAGCTACATCCCTTGATTTCAGATCATCAGCTTTTGATCATCAGATTACTGCCCATTGGTTTAGGTTAGCTACAAGATACATATACTTCCATCGTACTTTTTTAAGTTCATTTGCATGTGTCCATGCTTCTCTGTTGGTATTGAAGACATTAATGCTGGTGAGGTTTCACGTATTTTACTTTTGCTTTTTCGTATGCTAAATATCAATAAATTCCATTGAAGCATTCTCAGCAGTTCAATATTGAATGGTTGGTTTGGCAAGCAATGCAACTTAGTTATTTTGAAACAATTTTGTCTCTTATGTAATATGTATAGCTAGAATTTTTTACGAAGTATTTAAATTTTCCTTTTAATTAGCTGATCTCTGGACTTAAGAATATCCAAGATCCCATAAAGCATAGTAGCATGTCTAGCTTATTCAATTTTTTTGTGTCTTGTTTTGCCTCTTTTGAAAGGATTCTCTTGCTTTATTCTCATTCCTTTCCCACTCTCTTCAGTAAAGTCCCCTTTCCTCCTTATCTTTTTACTCAATTTACTTTTCTTTTGGAGCTTTGCATCTCAATTGTCTAAAATAAAACTAAAAATAAAAAAAAATACAAGAGTGCTTGTGTGTTAAAACATTTGTTTCTTACTGGTATTTTTCTAGTCTTATAGGAATATGACCTATGCGCTTAATATCTTTATCCTTGTTGATTTTCTATTTAGAGTCCCCATAAAAGCTTGTTTTACTAGTCGCATTATTTCTGCTTGCAATTCATCCACCCTGCTTTGTCGATTTGCCTACTCATTTTATGGACTCTTTTTTTCCCTCCTTTCTTCTAACCTGCTAAACAGCTTCGGATATATAATTGATATCACTGTTGGTACTATAAGCATCTAGTAAAAGATTAACACACTATTTGGATTGATGGGAGAGAAAGTGAGAGGAAGCAAAGGAAGGAGAAGAAAATAGGGAAGAAGTCTCCTTCCTTTTGTTTGGTTAGATAATATTTAAATTAATGATAAATATACTTAACTAGATATTTTAATATAATTATTATGAGAAATACTTTCCTACCATTTCCTCCCAATTTTGGAGGGGAAGTGAAGTGCTTAAAATGTTTGTACTCTTTCCCCTCCATACACTTCCCTTTCCCTTTTTTAAAAGTAATCCAAACATGATTTTAACTAAATTTTCTGCTCCAAATTCTTCACTTCTTCTCTTAAACCATCAATCCAAACAAAGGGATTTAATACTTATTATTGGCATCAACTTAAATTATGAGCTGAATAATTGTACTGTGTTTCTATCCAGTTGCTCACCTAGGGATGTGCTATTGTTGTCTTAAGAAATCATGACTATATGTCGTGCTGGACGAAGTATATTGTGACTATGTGCTATTTGTTGTTCTTCACACCATAGTTTGAGTAGCAGTTGTCTCCAACTATATCTATATATCTCAGGAGTGATAGTTTTGTTTATTGGGGGTCTTAAGAGCCACGATAGTCATATTCTGATGCAACAACTTATTCCATTGGCTATTCGAAGATCGTTACCAAAGAATGTAATTGAACCCTTGATTGAATTGAGCAATTTCTTTAGACAATTGTGTTCGAAAGTGAATCGTGCGACGGATTTGCAATATATTCAAGATCGTATCGCTCTAACACTTTGTCATCTAGAGAAAATATTTTCTCTGAGTTTTTTTGATATAATGGAGCACTTGCCTATACATCTAGCTGATGAAGCCTTATTGGGTGGAGCGATTCAGTTTCGACGGATGTATCCAATTGAGAGGTATCTTCTTACTTTGAAGAAATACGTGCGTAATAGAGCTCATCCTGAAGGATCAATTGCTAAAGGATATCTTATGAAAGAATGCATGAATTTTTGTGCACAATATCTCAATGATGTGGAAACCAAATCTAGTCAACCCGTGAGGAATTATAGTGGTGCTGATAATTTGGGTCATGCTATTGGTGAAAACACAAGCTTTTATCTTGATAATACTTCTTGGGTACAAGCTCATCGGTACATCTTATTCAATACAAGCGCGGTTCAACCATTCATAAAGTAGATTAAGTCACTCACTCAATATTTTATTATGTTTTATTGAATTTAAAACAAAATTTTTTGTATTGCTAAAATCTCAATCTACACAGCAAACACCTTGAAGTACTTCAGCCCAAAATGCCTCGTGTTGATGATCATCAGCTTCGGCGTGAACTTGTGGGAGAAGACGGGGCTCGAATCGGGTTCCCGGTTTAAGAGTTACAGCCAGATTTCACTTTAGGCAAACTAGTTACTTAAGAAACTTGAACTCGAGGTGTTAACGCCCCAAAATCATCAAACGGCGTCGGTTTGGCACGAAACTTGGCACACACGACCGCCTAAGCACGAGAGACTTGTGGGAGAAGACGGGGCTCGAATCGGGTTCCCGGTTTGGGAGTTAGAGCCGGATTTCACTTTAGGTAAACTAGTTCCTTAAGAAACTTGAACTCGAGGTGTTAACGCCCCAAAATCATCAAACGGTGTCGGTTTGGCACGAAACTTGGCACATACGACCCCTTAGGCACGAGAGACTTTTGGGAGAAGACGGGGCTTGAATCGGGTTCCCGGTTTGGGAGTTAGAGCCGGATTTCACTTTAGGCAAACTAGTTCCTTAAGAAACTTGAACTCGAGGTGTTAACGCCCCAAAATCACCAAACAGCGTTGGTTTGGCACGAAACTTGGCACACATGACCGCCTAGGCATGATAGACTTGTGGGAGAAGATGGGGCTCGAATCGGGTTCCCGGTTTAGGAGTTACAGCCGAATTTCACTTTAGGCAAACTAGTTCCTTAAGAAACTTGAACTCGAGGTGTTAAAGCCCCAAAATCATCAAACGACGTCAGTTTGGCATGAAACTTGGCACACACGACCTCCTAGGCATGAGAGACTTGTGGGAGAAGACGGAGCTCGAATCGGGTTCCCGGTTTGGAAGTTAGAGTCGGATTTCGGTCTAGTCAAAATTATTTACTAAACTATCTTTGTAATTATATAGTAGTTAATTTTTTTATATTTTTCTGTAATTAAAATATTAACACCATTATATTGTTATTAATTATTTTTATTTTGTTTTTTTCAGATATTTCCTTAGTAGCAGTTTGCTTCTTGTGGAATGCGGGCGTATAAAGATTATGACCAACTTTTATTTTTTTAACCCACGAAAGAATCAAGACGAAAACTTTTGGTTTTGATTTTGATTTATGTTATTTAAATTTGTGAACAACATTATGTATGTATTATGCAACATTATGTAGTGGCATAATTTTTATTGTTATGAATTTTTATTTATGTATTGTTATGAATGAAACAACATTATGAATGTTCATCATGTGCCAACTTTTGTTTATGTATGTATTTATATTATTATGTAATTTTTGGATTTTTTTTAGTTATTTTTCATTTAATATAGGTTATTTTTATATTTTTAATAATTTTAATACAGGGGGTTTTTTTTTTTAATTTTTTTTTGAGACGGTAGAGCACCCCGTCGCAAAAAGAAAATGGTAGCAAACTTTTTGCAACGGCACCAATACTGTCGCAAAAGGTAGGAATTAAACTGAAAATGAGGCCTTTAGCGACGGCTCAGGTTGCCGTCGCCAATAGTCATTAGCGACGACACTTTTAGTGACGGCAAAACGCCGTCGCAAAAACCTCTTTTAGCCACGGCAAGACTTTACCGTCGCAAATAAACCCAGATTTTCATGGCTTATTGGTGACAGAAATTTGCCGTCGCAAAAAAATTTTTTTACCGTCGCAAAAACAATGGCGACAGCACTTCCTGTCGCTAAAGCCCTTTTACAACCCCCTTTGTTGCGACCCCCACTTGCCGTCGCGAAAAACTATTTTACCGTCGCAAAAACCTTTAGCGACGGCGTTTGGGGTATTTGTGACGGCGTTTTGCCATCGCAAAAAATAATTTTTTTTGTAGTGTCCTAAGCTCTTAATTACATGAGTAAATCCTCTAATTAATTATAAATTCAACTCAAGTTTTCCAATAAAAATCAAATAAACTTTTGAAATAAAATATATAGACATAGATATACATATTTGAACTTTAAAACTTTACATCCCATGGAATTTCCTTGCAAATTGAAAACCCATGCAAAAAGAAATGAGTATGAACACAATAAAATCATGCATGCTCAAACTAGAATTAATTCTTCCAATTGGTTAATCAATGACTCCAAAACTATCATAAACTATGAACCATGTGGTCCAAACTTTATGATGAAAACTCTTTAAAATTTAGAGAATTCACTACAAGAAATTGCACTTTTGGCGACTACTTTTGGCGACGACGTCAATTTTTCATCGCTAAAAGTATATTTTTGGCGACACAGTGATCAATTTCGTTGGTAAAAGTATACCTTTACCGACGCAACTTGTTGTCGTCGCTAAAAAGGCATAACATTATTTTAGTACCAATTTTTTTGGTTGGCGCCAAAATTTCAAAACTTTTATCTACGAGGCTTATGTTTTAGCAACACAATGAGCGTTGCTATTAGTGTGCTTACTTTTGGCGACGACAAGTTGGCGTAGGTAAAGAGTTAACCATTTAGCGACGATGACACTATTCGTCGGTAAAAGTTTTGCTAGTGGAATGATTTGATTTAGTGATTTGTGTTTTTTATTATAATTTTTGAAAGAGTTTTAAATATTTTAGTTACTTAATTGTAAAATTAAAATGATCATTGAATTAGATCACAAAATGAACCCATTGAACACAGTTTTAAGTTGAGATGACTAATTTGAGATAATTTAAATTTTTTCAAAGAATATGATTAGATTATCAATTTCAATATGTTTGTTTTTATTTTCAAGAACTAGTTTCAAAAAAAAATTTCCTAAAAAACTAAAAACAAATTGGGTGAACAAAATACTTATTATTTTTGTATATTTTTATCTTTTAGGGCATAAATACCTTTTAAAATTTTAAAAATATAATTTTCAACCACAACAATGGCGTCTCTCACCCCTGGCATCCTCTCCAAACTTCTCCAAAATCTTAGCAACACTGTCGCCGGAGGGTATCGACAAGAAAGTGGGTGTGAAAGGAGAGATTGAGGGTTCGGGAAAAGATGGGTTAGAGAGAGAGAGAGTCTGCCTTCTCTCTAGAAATTGCCTAAATTTCTAGGGTTTTCTCATTCAATATTTCGTTGATAATGGCTGATCTCACATCTGATTTACGCAATTTGGCTACGATGGCTGATGGGTTAGTGACTGAAGGTTCTCCTTCGCCTAAGGGGAGTTCGCACATCGTGAAAGATTTACTGTTGGAGAGGGATTTGTTAACATTGATGGACATCGTGAAGCGAAATGGGGGTAAGAATCAGTCTTCTGCCTCTGAGATTGTTTTGGGTATGAGCCCTAGGGCTTCGATTGAGGTTCAGTCCGAGGTCCCTACTCCTAGTTCCTTTGTCGAAGCTATGGGTGGTCTCTGTTTCGAGATCCGAGACCTTGCTCAGCAACAAAAGCTTTGTTTTGGGGGAGAAGTGGCGTCGAGCCCTGCCGTTGTTCATTCGCAGGTATGGCTAAGGACTTATGGGTCAATTGCTTGGGCTGTTTGAAATGCCTGATCATTAGATTTTTCTTAAACTAATTCATGCATTGAATCAATTTTACAGCACTGCTACAAATGTTGAGATTGAGTTGCCTGTTCCAGCCGATGCTACCAACCCAAATGTTTGGACATCATTGGGATCTGCTTCATATGCACCAGAAAAGGATGCTTTGATCTGGAAAATTAATCTTTTCCTGGTGGTAAGGCGAGAGTTTACCTCAATTTTTCTGTGTATTGTTTGCTAGTAATTTCTTGTTCATGGCTATTGGTTATGTGGGGCTACAGTATCTTTTCCACTTGCAATTTTGACATGGAATTTTGACACTCTTTGCAAATTCAATTTAGGAATATATGCTTAGAGCGGAGTATACTCTTCCCAGTATAACATCTGAAGACGCAGCTCCTGAGAGAAAAGCTTCTATACGTGTGAAGTTTGAGATACCATATTTTGTTGTTTCAGGAATCCAGGTTTCCCCTCTCAAATACAATTTTTTTTTATTTTTTTAATTTAATTTTTTATTGAATAGAAAATTCAGATATTGTTGCATGTATATCTGCAATGCTTCATTCTTTCTGTGTCTGCTGTGTTTGCGTCTTTTTTTTCATTTTTTTTAATCTATCTAGACAAAGGTGGAATGGATAAAACCAAACCTTGTGTTCCAATGGTAAATTATTGTTCACAATTCTTTACTGAGGATTATGTTGTGTGTTTAAAATTTAAATATTTCTAGTCCTGAAGCATTCCTTATAAGCATTCTGATATGAAATTGCCAATTCTAGATCAGGCACAACCTTGATAGATGAGACTGCTAATAATCTGATTTGCACCATGGGCACCAGTTGAGACCATGGCACTGATTGGCACTTTCTGTTTCTGACAATGAACTGATTTTGTAGAACCCATGCCTTTAAAGAAATTAGCTGCAAAATTTATTGAACACTGAAAGCCCTTCTTGTTATGTGCTTACATGTATACACATACATGGGAACATCTGTTTACTTTCAAAGATCTGTGCATTTTTATACTAACTCAATAGGTATTCAAGGTTTTGGTGGTTGGTGTTGGTATATGTAAATGCCGTAGTTAGTTTTTTTTTTCATGACATTCCTGGAATTTGCTAGCGTTTTCTTAAGCAGATACTGTGTTACCTTGCTACTAGACATCCTTCCGTTGGATTCAATTTTACAGGGTTTTCAAGAATCATGTTCCCCAGTTGCTAAGGGATAATCAAACCAAACATCTCCTGAATACTTTTGTTCAAAATTTGGTAAGTCTTCTCATGTTGTAAGTTTCTTAGTGTTGTTCAAGTGTATTATGAGTAATTTCTTTTCTTCTTGACTTTGAAGTTAAGTTCAATGGGGGTTTTGGGTGAATTAAATGCTAACTGTAGTTTTATAATTCCATTCAAATTATGCTTCCTTTCTTGTGGTGGATTTAGCATTTAGGACATTTACTTGAGGACCATCTGCTAAATGCATGCTAAAATTTTAGACTTGAACACCACTCGGTAATCATTTCTTCATCAATGAATTTGGACACATTGAGACTTTCAATAATGATTTTTAAAAGCTCTACAACATAAGAAAACAGATTTAAGTTCTGAGGTCTAATTTTGTAGAAAAATCTTACGTAAATGTCTCAGGAGCTAAAACTTCCTTCCTATTATTTAACTCTCATGCCTCAAAACTGTTTCCAGTGTTGAGTTCGTCTTGCTTGACCACGTTGCTAGTAACAAATTTTTCCATCTTGTTCTCACAATTGATTTTCAGTGTAATATAGTTGAAATCTCAGTTCTTTCATTGAAAACATAAGCCCCAATTATTCACATGAATGTGTGACATTGTGATGCAGAAGCAGTAAGTAGAAGAGGACAAATCCCAAGCAAATAATGTCAAGTTTGTCTAGTTAATATGAAGTTTGTTTATTTATGAGTCTTCATTTTATTCTTGATTAGAATTTGTTAGTCCCCTATTAGGAGCTTCAGAATGTTCTGGATGTATTTTATTTTTAGGGATTTCTTTGCTATAGTTTGTGTGTTGGTTAGTAGACTTCTCTTGGGCTATAATCCAGCCAATTACTTGTTTAGAATTACTTATTTTGGTAGATTTTGAATATTTTACAGTCTCTAAATGGGGTAATTTTTAGAAAGTTTATTTCTCATTATGGTTTACTAGTGTCCACATAAAGAGGCCCCTGCTTGATTATGAATTTAGAGTTGGAATTAAAGAGCCAGTGTGGAAATTCCCTGTTGACTTGTGTGTGTATCTCAAGCCACCCTTGTGGTTACATCTGCATTGAACATTTTCTAACTCCTCTAATCATTAATCTGTTTCTACTCTAGCAGAGGATTTGGAGAGAGTTTTTGTAGTTGATATATATGTCTCTAAGGGAATGCCAGAGGTTTTGAATGGCAAAATAATGGTAAGATTATATATCTCATATCCTATTTCTTCCTCACATAAGTAGAGGATCATTTTGCTTTTGTTTTGCTATTTTATAACTGGCTGAAGCTGATATTTCTATAATACGCAGATTATTTCATCAGGACAGTTGGATGCCATTACAAGGGCACGCCCTGTTCTCTCTGGTACAATCTACTCGTGTCACTACTCTGCAACACTTGCATGAGGATTCAGTTTTTTGATCACTACTTTTAAATTTTCTATTTCATCTCTAAGACAAACTATTGTGTTTTTCAAACAGCTATGAGTGAGAAACTTTATGTTTTTGAGGGGGCACTTGGTGCTGGAAGGTGGGCTTTCTTCACAATCTTACCAATTTCTTTGTCATGTTTAGATTTTATAACAATTTGAATTGTGTTGTTGAGACAAATTTTCATATAAAATTGGTGACAATTAAATTTAGGGTAAAAGATGAAGACAAGAAGAGAGAGAGAGAGAGAGAGAGAGAGAGAGAGATAGAAATACAGGAAAAGGCTAATGAGAGACACCAACAGTAGGCACATGTTCTCTTCTTATACACACATATGTTTGCATTTTGTCTATCATCGATTGAACCAACCCAATTTGTATCACTAAATGCTTTCAATTTTAAGTGATCATGGTTAGAGCACAGGATCCATTTCACAAGAGCTGACTTGAGATACCTCTAAATGAACGATCAGGCACAAAAATTTTGGCATGATCAAGCAACTCAGATTATTATGTTCTTCCTCTTCCATGATTATGTCTTGTGTTATTTTATTTTGCAGTATGTAACTCTAAATTAAGTTAATAAAGTTTGATTAAGTAGCATGTACTTGTTATTTTGAAATGATAGTTGAAATGGGAGAATAAATGGAGGGAGCAAAGTCATCATTGGAGCAACATTGCTAATATATAGCATTTTGTCTCTTTTTATTGCTAAATTATAACAATATTCAACATGTAGCTATTGAACCATTGGAGACTAGAAAATTCACAAGACAGCACTAGGAAACCATAGGAGATTTTTTTTACTTGACAGGAATACAAGAACTGATAGGCTGCTTCTTAGTAGTGATATGGCTTTGATAACATGTAAATATTGGAAACAAAAAGTGGAATTAAAATTTGGTTAAAAAAAACTAATGGCTTTGCACAGAAAACAACACCTGACCTAATATTACACTAGTGATTGTGTAAACCAAGTCAAATCTAATTTACTATAAACTTACAACTAAATGATTCTTGAGTATTCCAATACAAATTTAAGTAATTTCATATCTTTGAACAATGCTTTTCAAATGATAATTTAATTGTGTCTTGGTTGTGCCACTTGATAGTAAATTTGTTTGTGCTAGGTGTTTAACCCAATTTAACAGGGATTGGCACAGGGGAATGGCCCTTTTTCTTTGTTTATTTATGTTAGGTGTTCTAATATCATATTAGATGATGTTATTGTTAATGTCTACTTTTCTTTTTTAAATTGCAGCAAAATTAAAATGGTAATAGAGCTGCTTGAGGGCATTCATTTTGTTTCTTCTGTGGAGGCCATTTCTCTTGGTGCCCAAGCTGGTATTCATCCATGGATAATTTATGACATTATTTCTAATACTGCTGGAAATTCATGGTAAATTATTGTTCACAATTCTTTACTGAGGATTATGTTGTGTGTTTAAAATTTAAATATTTCTAGTCCTGAAGCATTCCTTATAAGCATTCTGATCTGAAATTGCCAATTCTAGATCAGGCATAACCTTGATAGATGAGACTGCTAATAATTTGATTTGCACCATGGGCACCAGTTGAGACCATGGCACTGATTGGCACTCTCTGTTTCTGACAATGAACTGATTTTGTAGAACCCATGCCTTTAAAGAAATTAGCTGCAAAATTTATTGAACACTGAAAGCCCTTCTTGTTATGTGCTTACATGTATACACATACATGGGAACATCTGTTTACTTTCAAAGATCTGTGCATTTTTATACTAACTCAATAGGTATTCAAGGCTTTGGTGGTTGGTGTTGGTATATGTAAATGCCGTAGTTAGTTTTTTTTTTCATGACATTCCTGGAATTTGCTAGCGTTTTCTTAAGCAGATACTGTGTTACCTTGCTACTAGACATCCTTCTGTTGGATTCAATTTTACAGGGTTTTCAAGAATCATGTTCCCCAGTTGCTAAGGGATAATCAAACCAAACATCTCTTGAATACTTTGTTCAAAATTTGGTAAGTCTTCTCATGTTGTAAGTTTCTTAGTGTTGTTCAAGTGTATTATGAGTAATTTCTTTACTTCTTGACTTTGAAGTTAAGTTCAATGGGGATTTTGAGTGAATTAAATGCTAACTGCAGTTTTATAATTCCATTCAAATTATGCTTCCTTTCTTGTGGTGGATTTAGCATTTAGGACATTTACTTGAGGACCATCTGTTAAATGCATACTAAAATTTTAGACTTGAACACCACTCGGTAATCATTTCTTCATCAATGAATTTGGACACATTGAGACTTTCAATAATGATTTTTGAGATATTGATACTGTAAGGTAGACCTCAATTCAGAATCACATTCTTAAATGGGTCTCTTATCCACTTATTTTTTTAAGAACTCATTATTGAAGTAGAAAACTTATGTTTTTATGAAGTAGAAAATAGAAAAGACTTATTTGGCTAGGCATTGAAGTGTAGAAGTGCTAATGTGAGAAAAAAATAAGCTAGTTATCTTAAATACTAGAATCCTATTCAGCTTAATCACTTTATTGGAAAGACCTTAAGTGGACAGCTTTGTCATTCTAATCTAAACAAATTCTTGTTCAAATCTTTGAACTCTTATTCAATAGAGATCTCTTTGTGAACTGCAAAGCTAAAACTAAACCAAACCAAACTAAGCCTTGTGTCCCCAATCAAGTGGCGTCAGTTACATGAATCATTTTCCTCTATTTCGCTCTATTAAGGGCTGGATGAGTCAATTATGCCTGATGGGTTTTGGTCCAACTTGAAGGGTATTGTTTTGGATATGGCCAAATCATGTACATTTCCTCTTCCACTTCTGGCAGTTGCTTTTCAACATCTAATAGCAGGTATGTATCTGCATGATTTACAGTTTCTCACAACCATAATCTGTAGGTGGCAGCTATTAATGTTTTGGAGCAACCTGATACTCACTTTGTTAATTTCCAATTGTCCTTTCACAGGCTCCTCTCATGGTCATGGAAATGATGGTGATGACACATTCATCAAGGTTGTTCTCATGAACTAATTTCTTTTATATAAAAGTTATATTATGTGGCTTTTTTTACTTGCTTTGAGGTTATGTAAATATTAACATGCCATTTGCTAAGTAGACACACCTGTTCTTGCACAGGCTTGGGAGAAAGTATATGGGGTGAGCATTACCAATGCTTTCAATATGGTACAAACTTATTTATGAAAAAAAATATTAATAAAATGTCATTCCGAGTCAAGTCTGCTGCATCAAATGGTCAATTAGGTATCATATATTACACTGCAGAACAGCATCTGCTGTCTCTCCTAAAGTTTGTGCTGACTAAAAGGCATTCTACTGGTGGTCTTTTATTTCTTTGTAGTTGAGTTAATAATGCCATTGTCGTATATCTATTATAGATGTAGTGTAATAAGTTGCTTGTTGCTTTGATAATTGTTTCAGATATGTTGAAAATTTGCTGCCGAAGTCTGGATACGACTTGTATTGCTCATCAATAAATTGCATCTCTAGATTATGCTGGTCCATTTTCTCTTAGAAGTGGGAGTTGTTTCCTGACTACAGATAACTATATATCAGTTATAGAATAAATAGAAAACTTATGTTTAGTAAAATTTACCCAAATCTATATGTCGTTTTCAATCTATAAGTTTAGTAAAAACATATAAGATTTACCCAAATCTATAAGTTATTTTTTTTTATAACCTTTTTTATAAGTTTAGTAAAAAAAAAAAAAAGGTGGCTTCAACTAGATCATCATTTATTATGAATGAAAAATGAAGTACAATTCGGAAATTGAAATAGTTTCACAAACACACAACCAAATCGATTTCAATTAACCCATTGTGGTGTACTTGAATTGGGTGTTTTTATATAACTTACTCTCCTAGTGTAAACATGACAGCCAGTGAATTAGTTTGAATTTTTACTTAACTTAACTTCTGTTAACCTGATGGCTTAAAAGTTACTAAGAATTGTATAGTTTTGAGGGTTGTTTGAACAATTGATGCAGCTTGTTTGGTGGATACTTTTGTGGCATGATGCTGTGTTGCGTTGAATCTGGTGCTGATTGGCTCTGTTCTGTGTGCTCTGCCTCTGATGCAGCTTTTGATTGATGCGATCTGTTTGTCCTGATTTCTGATTTGGTTGAGTTGTTTTGTTGCTGGTTTTGTTTGATTTGTTTTCTGACTGTTTTAGTAAATGAGGTAAACTGCTGCGTCAATTCTGATTTGGTTATATGATTTTGTTTGGGTTGCCAAGTTGAAATGGTTTTCTGAACTGGTGATGATCTGTGTTGAATCAGTTTGCTGATCTGCTATACTAATCTAGTATTCTTCTAGTGCTGTTGTGATGTTGCTGCTGTTGCTGAGATGCTGTGGTGATGCTGCTGTGATGGTGTTTGTTACGATAAGGTGCTGCTGTGTTGTTGTTGGATGTTTGCTGGTGTTGCTGGTGTTTGGAAGGGTGCATGACTTTTTGTCCAATCTGTAATAGATCAGGTTTTCATTAATGGGGGTTGTCATTAGGTGTAAGTTCGGGCAACTGCTGGTGTTTTGGCTAGAAGGGTATGGAGGGGGTATTTTGTGTGATTTCATATCCATGTTATTAGTTTGTTATAGTGGTGCCTGAGGGATGCCTCTTGTAAATCTGTAAATTTTTTAAAAAATTATAAATGAGTTTCAATTATTTTTGCCGTTGCAAATTTGTCGTTGTTAAAAAGTGAAGCTTTCTCGACAAATAATTAGTCGGTAAATGTGTAGCTAAAAGTTTATTTTTGCCGACTCATATTGTGTTGCTAAAAGTGTATTTTTTGCCAATGTCAATTTGTCGTTGCCAAAACTAAAACTTTGTCGACAACCAAATCGTTAGCAAATGGCAACATTCACCGACGTAAATGTGTCGCTAAAAGTTATTTTTCCCCACTCATATTGTGTTAGCAGAAGTGTATTTTTTGCCAATGCCAATTTGTCGTTGCCAAAAGTAAAGCTTTAGCGACAAACAAATCGTCGGCAAATGGCAACATTTGCCGACGTAAATGTGCCGCCAAAAGTTTACTTTTGCCAACGCATATGTTGTTGCTAAAAGTATATTTTTTGCCCATGCAAATTTGTGTCGCGAAAAGTGCCACACAATCATCCTATTTGAATGACTTTTACCAACGCAAGGTAAATTGCCGACGATGGATGGAGGCTTTTAGCGACGACTATGTTCGTCGCTAAAGGCATTACTTTTACCAACGCAATCATAATTTCGTCGGCAAAAACTTTTGCCAACTCACTTTTGCCTACGGGTTGCCAACGTAGCTTTGTGTGTCGGCAAAACTCTTTGCCAACGAATTTTTCCTTTTAGCAACATATTTTGTTGCGTTGCGAAAAATGCAATTTCTTGTAGTGATTCATGAAGTTTATGCAAGAAAATGTATATGTATACAAAGATATCATGAATTCATGCCATGCATATTGAATTTAAGTCCAATTTGCTTCGATTCTTTCCTAACTTAGCTTGCAGGTTCTACTTTGTCAATTCCAACATTAAAGCTCCCAATTAATTAAGAATTCATCATAATTGACCCTTTGTCTTAGAAGATGATGAGTGTGAAGTTAAATTTCAAGAAATTAAATGAAAAGCTTACCTCAACTTAATGAATTGTGAAGAGTTAATTAGTTTTCTTCAATGCTCCTCTTCTCTCTATTCTTTTCTTCTTTCCTTGTTTTGTTGAGTTCGAACCTCTCATTTCTCTCTGTACGTGGTCCATTGGTGTGTAAAAAGATGACTATCTATTGGTGTGTAAAACGATGACTAACTTAAGGCAACCAAGCGCTCTCTCTCTTAGTCTATATTTATGAGATGAGTAAAATAATTAATATAATAATAATTAAATTTTCTAGCTTAAATTGTAGTTAACTAGCTCAAATAAATTAAATTAAATTAAATTAACCTCTAATATTTATAACTTAAATCAAGTTAGTTTCAATTTGCCTAATGAAAATTAGGCTCTAATTTCATATCCAATTATTTAATTTTAACTTATTAAAATTAGCGAATCAGATTGCCAGATAACTCTAAAAATGCCAATTAACATATCCTTGTACTCAATTTTGATTTCTGAACCCATTTATGTCATCAATTTCAATTCCAAAGTTGTATTCTCAGCAAATAATTTCCCAATTTGGACAAATATACACGAATTAAATCATATAATTCGCAATTAATACATGGATAATTCATATAATTATAATTTGCATTTTTTGGGGTGTTACAGTGTTGTTGCATTGTTATTTATTGAATATGTTGTATATGAATGTGATTGAGATTAAATTAATTATTCCACTAGAATCTAATAAAGAAAGAAAAGAAAAAAAAAATTAGGGGCCTTATTTTGGACCACTAACATTTTGTATGTGTATGTGTTGTTTTTCATTCAAGGGTCACCATATCATACTTATATATTTTATATAAGTATATATAAAATATTCTGTTGGCATCATTTTGTATATATTTTAATTTCAATTGGGCCAAATCATACTTATAAATAAATAAGAGCTCAACCGAATATTTTTAAATCCTTTAGATTAGTCCTAAAACAACAAAAATAATTTAGATATATTTGTATTTGTAATACATTGTAATATTTTTTTAAATTTGAGAGCCCTATTTTGAACCTAAAGCACAGACTTCAATGGCTTTAGCCCAAGGCAGATTCTGGTTGCCAGCGAGGAATGAGGCCAGGGCTTATGATGATTGTAGCAAGGAAGGAAGGCAAAGGAGTTGCACAAGGGTGTGGGCAATATCAGAGGTTAGGAAGGGGGCTAAGGTGGTTGGGAAGAGACTAGTGGTAGCCAGTGAAGGTGGAAGCTGCTGCCAAAGGGGTTACAAATGTGGAGGTTTTCATAGAGGAAATACAAGAAAAGAAGGGAAATAAGAGAGAAAAAGATTAACTTATAAAGATTCTCATGTATTTATATTTATTTTACAAACAAGATTAAGATTAACTTTCCTTTTCTTCCGTCAAATTTTACATATATATATATATATTATTTTTTTCCAATGTTTTTTTTTTTTGTTGTTGATTTTTTTCATGTAGATGTCATTTCTATGCAATTTTTTAAGCTCTCGATTAACAGGTTGGGTTCGAGGATTTTTTGATTAAATTAGTCAAATATATATGGAAAAATCGGTCTAAGGTCCCTATCTAATTTTTAGTAATGGATTAGATCCACGATATGTTCTTTTGTAGTCTAAGGTCCCTCACCCCCGTATCCTTATATTACACCTGCACTCTCATAGCCAGAGAGGATAACCAAGTTAGGAACATAAAGGTCTGAATTTGATTCTCGTTGGTCGAAATCCCGAGAAACTCAAGGAGGTTTCGGAGTCGATCGGAGCCAAATTCGGGAAAACCCAGATCAAGACTGTGGTTGTTGATTTCTCTGGAGATTTGAACGAAGGGGTTAATCGGATTCGTGAAACCATTGAAGGTCTGGATGTTGGAGTTCTGATCAATAATGTTGGAGTTTCGTAGACTGCAAAATGCCCAGTTGGTGTCCCCGGGGACGCTGTCTGTGGCGGCCGAACAGCACTCACCACCTCTTGAAACGCCGCCGCGCTACAAGCGTCCATCCAAGCCACCCAAACTCCCCTTGGGTTTGGGATCCTCTTTTCCCTCAAAACCTGCAACAACTCCCCATCATTTTGAACCAGATTTCACTACCAACTATGCTTTTCCTTCCCAAGAAGAGGATTAATCTGTTCTTCAACTTCAAATTAATAGAATTGTCACTCTTCGGTATGGAGCATTCTCCTCTTTCTCATAAATGCTATTTGTTATCCTCATGAAAGCATCACTCTTATCCTGTTGTCATAACTATATTGGTTAATATGGAAGATATAAAACCACAATAAAGGAAGAAGACAAACAAAACTGAATATAAATTGATTGTGAAGTTTAGTTTTTTTAGCATCAAGATGAGTGACTACTGTAAGGATTATTTATTTTATACACACTGTTATTATACTGCATTGATTTTGGTGGAATAAAAATTCAGAGAAATTAACTAGAGAATTTATCTGGACCAACCCAACCCAGAGAAAATTCAGTTCAGACCAAAAAAATTCCAACAACCTAGAGAAAATTCAGACCAACCAAACCAATTATATATATACACATCCAAAACCATGCCTCTTTCCTCTCTTTCAATTCACTAGCATAAAAACCCACACATATACATACATATATTTGTGTAGACCTTTTATGTACGATGGGAATCATCACAGTAGGTTTGGGGAATATAACAGAGGGCATTTTTGTCTACTGGTTAATGAAAAACTCTTTCACTGTCGGCAGAAATTGAATAATGAAAATATTTATTTTAATGATGAAAGCATAAGAATGAAAATATTGAGGAATTTTCTCTGAACCAATTTTCTCTGGATCAATTTTATCTGGACAAATATATTACACAAAATCGGAGAGATTCTTTGTGAATAGAGCCAGAGAAATTTGTGAAGTAAGAGAAATTTCCTGGATCAATGTACAATAACCAAGGTTTGCTCATAAAAATACAACTCTGCAAATAGAGAGAATTTCTCTAATCTGTCTGGTTTGGAGAGAATTTCTCTGGTTTTGGACCAGAGAAATTTATGGTTTTGCTAGTAAAGATTGTATTGTTGGCTTACATAATACATAAAGTCAGAGAAATTGACAATGTGCAAAGGATTGGGACATAAACTTAAGACAATGAGAAAAAACTGTAAGAGAGAAAGAGTACTAATCAATACCAAACAAAATCATGGGCATTTTGCATGCTAAAAGTAGCAACAGATCTGAAAATTTTCTTAGTGATATAGTAAAGAGAACAAAGTACTACCTAATGTCCACAAGAGCATGTGATTGCATATGGTCAGGACAGTCAGTTAATGCATCAAACAAATTCTAGGAATGATTGGGCCAGAAAAATTCTGAGAAGAATTGGAGGAGAGAAATTCAAAATTTCTCTGGACTCAATTAATACATTAGAGAAATACTGAGAAATTATGGAAAGAATTGGGCCAGAGAAATTCTGAGAATAATTAGACTTTCCAGAGAAATTTTGTCTGAAATTTCTCTGGACCAATTTTCTCTGGACTGAAATTTCTCTGGATCAAGGTTGAGGGACCTTAGACATTATGAAAATATTATTGAGGGGCCTTAGACAATATGAAAATATTGAATGTCCTTTATGCTATACAACCTTAATATCAGGGACCTTAAAAAAAATCCCTATATATATATATTAAAAAATTAATAAGACAAAATATCATATCTAAATCATAATTATTTTTATTTTTTTTCCCAAAAATAAAAAAATCTAACCCTAACACGGTTTTTAGGCTTATTTTGAAAAGAGAATTAAAAGTTACTTTCTAACTTTTAATCCACTTTCTTCTCATAAAAAAAAAATCAAAATCAAAATAAAAAAATAACTTTTAACCTTCTTACAAAAACACTCCATAGTCCCAAACTAAAATTTTTAATGAGGCAAAAAATAAAAAAAAACTAACTCACTTTAGAAACGAAGTCTAAAAGTATGTTGTCCCTCTGTTTGCATTTTATAATTTACGGACGTGATGCCATCGGACGGTGCAGAATTACCTGACACCCGCTCTTATAAAAGACTCGTCACTACCAGACATCGCCTTCAAGAATTGATCAACACTTTCTTATTCTCTCTCTCTCTACACTACATACAAATGGCCACCACTCTCCCGGTCCAGCACAGCCGCGCCATTCTCGGCCGTGACCCTCTCGGTCCAGCCCGGTCACGCCGGTCTGAGACTCCTCAGATTGGGAAGCTGTCTGTCAAGAACGACCGGTGGTGGTTTGGGGTGGCCTCCGCCCCTTCCCGCCGCGCATTATCGACGGTCCTTCTCGCCGGTCCTAGAGCCGACGACTCGGCCCGGTTCGAGATGTCCGTAGAGAACGCTTTGAAGGTTCTCGGTGTCTCAGAGGGAGCCTCGTTTGATGATATACTTCGAGCAAAGAATTCGATTCTTGCCGCTTGCAAGGACGACCAAGAGGCAATTGCACAGGTGGTGTTCGATGATTTGCGTGAATGTTCCCTGATAGTGAAATTGTGTGAATATTGGGGTAATTCAATTGGATTTTGGGAAATTTGAATGTTATTGTACTTCTCTTTATTTGGAATTTGCAGAACTATTAAATTTAGCCATGGAAAAACTTAGACGTGATTGATTATGGGGTTTTGAAATTAAAGCTTGAAAGTAAAAGCCAATTTGTCTATGTGGGTTTGGTGAAGTTTAGACTTTAGACCTTTCCTTTTGGTTGTTATAATTCAAAGGATTATTTAAATTGCAGTATTTTTATCTGGGTTGGTTGAGTTTGCTTGCCAGATTGTCCCTTTTTCGATTCAATGCTGATGTGATTGAAGATTTGAAGAATACTTATTATCTTCCTAAAGAGAGAAAGGGCAAAGGTGATCCATGTAATTGTTATCATTTGTAGCATGCTAGCTAGATGGCAAGGCAATTACCCGCATGGTTGGCCAATTTTAAAAAAAATAATAAAATATAAATAAATTTTTTTTTGGGACAATTGGTAACTTTACATGGTATTCATTAGTGTTCTGATTATAGGAGGGCTTGAGTTTAAGTCTCTTAATCTGATTAGTAATATTTATCATACTAACAGACTTGTTTCCTACTCCTTCCAACAAATTTCTAATTCTTGAGGGCTTTCAGATGTTGAAGCACTCTATGTGCAGCCCTCTCTTAGGGGACAAACTCAAATGCACAAAGGAGATGTTGCCCTGTTAACTTTATATAGTGGATATTTCTTTCATCATTGCCTCTCATTTGCACCATTCCCAAAACAGAAAAGGGGAAAACACTGGAAAAACAAATTGCCCGATGCCAATGCCTTCGCAATGAGAGCCATTGATCCGCTAGTTGTCTCCACCGCAGGACATCACAAATTTCATGCCTGTTAATGCTTTGTTTCGAGCTGAGAAAATGAACATGTAGAGGCTGACAATTCTTTGCTAGAGTTACTATAGATCATATTTTGTGGCAATGGGAGATTTTGGCTAGGTTTGGCATAACCTACATAATCCATCTTTTTATCTTTTTTCCATCACATCACCTCTCTACTTTTCTGCACATCTTTTCGTAAAAAGACAAACAGTGCACTTTTTTAGGACACTCCAAACCAACCCAAATGTGAAGTCATATTTTATGCAGAACTAGCTTTGCTTAGAATTGCTTGTAACTTGTATTTTATTGCCATACCTTCTGTGAAGTAATATGGCTAAATTTTTTCAGGTAGAGGCTGCATATGATATGTTGCTTATGCAAAGCTTGTCACAGCGCCGAGCTGGAAAGGTTGTAAGCAGTAGCATTCGTTATGCTGATGTTAAACCTGTAAATGCTCCCGGGATGGGATCAATGCCACAGTGGCTGCAGGCCACAGTTAAGAATCCACTCATTTCGATTGAAACACCATCTAGTGGTGATTTGGGAATACAAGTAGGTGTATATGGAGCTTTGATGGCTTTAAGCTACGTCAATGGAGCCTCTACATTTTCCACAGCTCTGTATGCTTCAGCTGATGTTCCTGGGCTGATATTGGCCACTAGTTTTGGAGCATCTTTATACTTCATGACCAGACAGAATGTCAAGTTAGGCGAGTAGCATTCTTTTCTATCAAGTTCTCTTACATTTTTAAATCTTTTTTGAGATTTGAAGGGATTCTTTTGTATTCAATTGTTTTGCTGTTTTGTGGTTTCTTTCTTTTCTTCTTTTTATGTTTCCTTTGTATTGCGTGTTCTATAGCCTGTTTGGATTGGGTGATTTGGAAAGGAAAGAAAGAAATGCATTTCTCTTGTACATATCACTTGTTTGGATATGAGTACAGAGGAGAGAAATGAGAAGAAATGGAAAGAAACACATTTCTCTTATAACCCTCATTTTGACGGGGTGTTTGGGAAGGATATTTTTTTGGTTTTTTTTGATTTTTTTCACTAAAAGACAAATTGGTTACAAAATCAAAAAAAAACAAATCCAAACAAAACATCACATCAAACCCTATAATCATTTTAGTTTTTCTCTCACAAACATCACATCCAACCACTAAAAAATCCAACTATCTTTTCAAACACACAATTTTTTTTTTCCAATAATATCCTACAACTAAAAAAACTTACAAAAAAACCCACTTCCCAAACACTCACTCAATCTCTCCAAAACTGGAAAGATCAACAGAGAAAATAAACCAACTAATTACTATTTTCTTATAATACCAACATTGCCCTTGAGATATAGAAGAAAAGAAAAAGTGACTCTCATAAAAGGTTATCTATTAGATGGCACATTTTAAATTTATAAGTTAGTATTTGATTCGTTAGGAAATTCAGTTTTAAGTCATCTAGGTAAACACACAGATTACTAGTGGAATGTAAAAAAAAAAAACCCATTTATTAAGACATTGTGCTCCTGGTGGGTAAGAAATATTTTGGACTCTTCATTTTCTCCCCACTCCCCTCCCTCCACACACAGGCATGCTAGAGAGCTTAATATGCATTGTTCAAGCCCTTCCTTAATAGCTCAAGCTTGTGGGACTAGTGATGATCTAACATGGTATTCGAGCTGAGGTTAGGAGAGTTATAGATTTCAAGTTTCTCAGTTTGCATATGTTTGCCTGTTTGTGTTTTGTTTCTCTACATGTTTGAATGTTTATATCTCCACGTGCAATATGGGATTGCACTTAAAAGAGAGTGTTAGAGAGCTTGATATCCATTGTCAAATCCATTTCCTAACAGTTTAAACATTTAGAACTAGTGGTGATCTAACAACACCCATGCCCAAAAAAAATGTTCTTAAAAAAAAGGAAGAAAAGGAAAGGGAAAAAAACAGAAAACTAATCAACCTCAAGGAAGAATAAAAATAACTTCTTGATCAAGGGATGTTGATATCATTTAATACCTATCATTTTATTCTTGTGAAGTAAGGGCTTGCAAACTGAATTATATGGAATATTAAAAAACGGTTCTTTTTTCTTTCTTTCTTTTTTTTTTTTTTGTTGCAGTGAAGGCAACTGTAATTTCCATAGGGGGCCTTGTCACTGGTGCGGTAGTGGGATCAGTGGTTGAGAACTGGCTGCAGGTAGATATTGTTCCGTTTCTTGGCATACACTCCCCTGCTGTTGTAGTTAGTGAATTTATACTCTTCTCTCAATGTTTGGTTTCCCTCTACCTAAGATAGGGTAAGAGAATTGTGATCATGACTAAATCACTAGACCTGTAATTATTCATTTGCATGATCATAAATTTACTTCTTTAGGATGTGTATGATATTGTACATATGTAATGTTCTAGAACTCAAAACATTTAAAAACTTGCCGCTTTTTGTGTTAATTTTTTGATTGGGTGTACTCAAAGGCTTTTCTTTCTTTCTTTTTTTTTTTTGTGGACATTGTTGGTGATTATTTATTTCTCTTCAATTACTCCAAGCTGCGGGGAGGCATGAAAGCAGCAGTCATGTCCATTCCTTAAAACAAGCCCGTGTGGCACTACTTTTTGACAATTACAAGGACATCCTTGTGGTTTGTGAAATTACATTGTCCTCAACTTTGACTAATCATGTTAACAATAAACATGCAATTATCCTTTTGCCCTTTCACAAAACTATATTTCCATTATATCATATTCCACAAGACTATAAATTTTCTTAATACTTGTTACACTACTCCTCTTCTCTATTCTTTTTCTCTCTCTTCATTTTCACTACCATGCTCAGTTTTTTTAATCTTACACCAGCCTCCACTGTCTAACACCACCACCCAAAGGCCCCCGTTGGCTGCCCAAATCGCCACCACTTGTACATTTCAAATACAACTTCAAACTCCAGTAGCTGAGCGCTACCTCCTCAAAGGTTCTTTTTGACCCACCCTTCTCTATCATTTCTACTGTTAAAATAATGATGTATTATTTATTGATTGTGTATATTACAAGATTGATATATCTGATTTGTATGTTACAAGCTATTATATAGGAGAGGTGTGAGGTAAGTGAGTGGTGGTAGTGGATGGCAGTGGAGGTGGTGGGTGGTAGTGGAGATGGTAAGTGTGTTAGGTTTAGTGGGGTGGATGTAGTGGGTTAGGTTAGTGGGTTAGGCTTAGTTATTAGAAAATGTTAATATCTTACGCATTTTAAAACATAATACACTTCCATTCCAAAAGAATAAATTTAATAATCCAAAGTGATTCTAATTTTTTTTTCAATACATTTCCTTAAATGTTATCTTAAGAGAAAAAAATAAAAATAAAATATAATGAACTAAAATCTAAAGTGAGTTAAGTTTTGATAAGACAAAAATATCAAAAAATGAGTCATAATGCTCATAGAAAATATTACAATTTATTAGATTTCTAATAGTCAAAAAAATTCACTTAAAGTTTTTAAAATTTTTAAATATAATATATACAAATTTACCCCCCTATTGTACCACATTTTAAAATATGTGACATACTGAAACAATTTATGTTCTAGGAAACATAGACCCACCCTTGCTCTATTTTCTCTGTTATGCCTATGATTCTAAATCAAAATGCCTAAGATTCCAAATCAAAATGCTTCTAGAATGCAACGGAGATTGATCATTTTGAATTGTCTAGATTACCATGCCAATGATTTACAAGAATCGCAAGAGAAAAGGTAGGAAAACGAAAAAATAAAATAAAATTAACGACTAGAAACAATAGTAGTAGTGAAAATAACTGCACTAAATACAAGGATTATCACATTCTCTCTCTCTCTCTCTCTCTCTCTCTCTCTCTCTCTCTCTCTTCTTCTCTTGTTTTCTTTCCTTCCCAGTCTTCTCTTGGGTTTAGTTTGGGTTTTAGAAACTAAACCCAAGTCCTTTCGTTCTCAGATAAAGATTACATTGTACTCTAAAGAATTGACATCATAATCGTCTTCATGCCCTGAAGAAGCTACCTGGTATTCACACAAGAGAACATATAGTACATATAAAAACATCTTCCTCGGATAGAGCTGGCCTAGGTGGGCGTGGCACAAGGGGCAAGCGTGTTGGAAGGCAAGTTAACTCCGCCCCCTTTCACAGACAGGTTGGGACTCCTGACTGAGTTGGCCCTGCTCACGAGATTTGAATCGAGAAACACGACAATCACTGTGATGTCATCATGGAAATGGCGACGTACCCCCCGATCTATCTTCTTCAAGTCCGAATACCTCATTTCTCTCTTCTTTGCTGCCTCTTGCAGTGCAGCTTTCACTAACCTCCGAGCACTTCCCTGCATGACAGTAGCTAAATTTTCTTCAATCACGGCACATTCAAAAGAATAAAATGATTGGCAAACTTGTTCATGGAATAAGCAACCAGTAGTTAATTTTTTACATTGACAGCAGATTCTAGAGATGAAATAATAAACAGCAACAATAATTCGAAAGTGATGTTTCCCTCCATGTTCAGTTACTAGACCCCTAAGCAAGTGCCTTACTGATTCATGATCAGATAACTATAAAACCCTAATCACACCAATCTGATTCAATAATCAAGCGAGACGACAAACTTAAAAGTGGCCAAGGAAATTATGTAAGTTAAAATCCCTCTCTATGAGAAAAAGTACCGATGTTCAGCATCTTACACTGCGAAGATGATTTTGAACTATATCAACTGCTTCCTGGTTGCTGAGGTGCTCCCATAGACCGTCTGATGCAAATATAATGAACTGATCGTGTGGCTGCAGCTGGTGTGTGGAAATTGATGGATCGGAGCTCAATATAGGCCTTCTAAAAGGTTCACGTAACCGAAACTTGGCATATAATGGCTCCCTATTGAATTCAGCCTTTTTTAAATATACATCGCCAATAGATCTCGAAACCTGTGACATAAAATAACATCAGAGGGCATAAATAGTCCAAGTTCAAGGTGCATCATATTCAACAACAAATGGCAGGGCCATGATCCTGTTCTTGAAGGGAAAGCAACAAGTGTAAAACAAAGATCCTTTTCAGTGAAAAGGCAAACAGTAGTGAGAGAGAGAGAGAGAGAGAGCGAGAGAGCTAATAAAATGATGTGCTCAAGCAAGTAAAGCATAGCTTAAATTCTGATCACTCATCAAAGCTAGTAAATGAAACTTGAAAACCTAACCAAGGTGCCTTACCATTAGGACTACATAAATACAATGCATAATAATAATACTGAAAACAAATAATATAACCAAACTTGCTCCAACTCTCCCATCAAATAAATAAATAAAAATGCCCAACTCTAAATAATTCAGAGAATGGGATAAATTGTTTAAGTAACAACTCACTGGCAAGATATCCGACTCCGTATTACAAGCAATAATGGACTTAGCACACTATCATGTCACAGTAACAGAGAAAATAGCAAGCAAAAACATTTGCAAACCATAATTGTAAAGTTCAACGTCAAACCCTTCCCTTGCAAAGAAGACTCACCTGTATAATGCCCTTCACACGCCATACGTTATGCTTTAAAACTACTATTTGCGAGTCATCTGGGTGCAAAGAATGCAACTCCTGTCTCACTGATTCTATAGCTGCATTGTGTTCCGCTGAGAGTTGAACGGCCAGAACCTCCCCTGTTGCTTTGACAAGTCTCCCTAAAACAGCACGCGAATCACCAAGGTTGGCAGTGTAAAGGGTCCCATTGCAAATAACACCAACCAGGCAGCATGATCCGACTGCCGCTATCTGCGGCATCATTGACCATTGTTTGGTAACAAGAGAGAGAAATCCCTCTTCTGTTGCTTGGAATGCCTTCCGTATTACCTCTGCCGACATAGATTGTTGCTCAGAAGTAAACCCTACATAATTAAGAAAGAGTATTTGACCTTCCGCCACAAGAAACAGACAATCACAAGAAATCTAATCCCCTAAATCAGTGTACTAGGGCAATAACATGTCTTTAAATTCATGACTTGTAATGCTTCGTCTAGTAACTGATAAAAATTTTGAATCCAGGACACTGAAAGCCTCCGGCCAATCAGTCTAACACAACTATTTGGGTTAACTAATTCAGAGATAGGATGCAATCGAAAACAGCAAACTATTTAGTAAATCTCTATATTACTCTCTCTTCCTCAAATGTAAAACAGGAAATGTGTAAATATTGAATAAATTGAAAAGAATAAAAGTTCAATATTCCAATAGAATTCCAGTGACTTACTCTTGAGATGCTGGAAGAGGTGATCGTTGACAAAACGCGAAGTCTCAGGGCCACCGTGCCCATCATATACTCCGACAAATGTTCCAAATGGCCCCAAGTCATTCGTGCTCAGGCAGCCTGACTCAATTTGGCTCTGATCTTCTAGTAAATTGTTAGCTTGAACTACAGCCATTGAGAACTCACCACTAAAATGTTGTCCTGTATCTTTGTACCACAGAAGCCCATCTTGGCGACCAACAGTATCCAAACCCGCGTGAATGTATCGATCTGACCTAGGCCGAAAACAGGCCCTCAAAAAGCCCATCAACCCAGATAACATACCTCATTTCACCCAAATCACCCTACAAATTCTCCACATCTAATAATGACTCAAAAATAACTCTGACCCAAATAAGCCTGAATTGTGACCTGTTTGTTCCCTCCCCTACTGCACACGATTAAAAACTAGCAACTTTGCATTAACATCGAGAGCAAAAAACAAAATCAAAAACTCAAAACTAGAACTCGCCACATACCCAATTTAACAGAAAGATCATAGAAAAATGCATCAAAAGGGCACCTTTTTGTTCAATTCAGCTGAGAACAATAAGGAAATAGCAAGTTTAAACTAACATCAAGAGCAAAAAAAACTCAAAATATCAAAATTAGAACTTGCAAAAATCACAACCTAACAGAGGATCATAGAAAAATACAAACAAAAGGCCAATCTTTTCTGTTCAATTCAGCTGAGAATTATAAGAAAACTAATGAATAAGAGGTTTGTATGTGAAACGAATCGATACAACTGTTCATAATGAAAACAGAAAACCCATGACCACAACAGCCGCTAATAATGAAAACTTAAAAGGGGGACCTTGAAGAAAAAATGGTCAAATTCACTTTTTTCTCATACAACTGTTTGGTCAGCAATTTCAAAACCAGAAGGTCAACTCTCAGCATATAAAATTAAAAAAACCTATTTCCAAAAATCCCAAAATACTCCTTAGTCTCAACAATACATCATTTTTTCAAAGAAAACAGCGAAACTTGGGAAAAAATTTACCTTTTATAATTGAGAACTATGGGAAGATCTGAAATTGAAAGAGTTAGATCTGTGGATCAATGAAATGGAAGAGAAATTGAAATGGGTTTTGATTGTTTGTGTTCACTCTCTTCTTTGGAGTACAGAGATGACGAGAGGGTGATGGAAGAGAGCATATATATATAAGAAAGAAGCGAAAAATGTTTATCATTGAAACTCTGGTCTCTCTCAGCAGACAAGCTCCATTAAAGACCAACAATGAGAGCTTGAATCCAGCAAAGCAGAGGACCAGGTTTGGGCTCCACACCCACTTGAAGGTATAGAGAGAGAAACTCTTTCGGAGGAGAGAGAGTCAAAGAAGTAATTTGGATAATGATAAATTTGTACGGTAATTCCATGGATATGAACTTCACGCGTGAACACGTGGGATTAAAGGGTATTTGACAATTAAACATTTTTTTGTTTTTTTTGTTTGGGTAATTACGCTTTCACCTCTAATTATTTCTCATTTTTTCCTTCAAAATTATTCTTTTACTTTTATTTTAAATTATTTGTGGCTGCACCCTTTGATTTATCAACTCTCATTTTTGAAATTTTCTCAATTAAATTTCTTTAAATAATTATTCAAATCCAAATTTAACCCAATCTATTTAATGGTTCGTTTGGAATGTGGATTGACTTTTTAATTTTTTGACTTTTTGACTATTTTAATCTAGGGTTAGTCTCGTTTGAGATGGATTTTTTTGATTTTCATGAGAAAAAAAATAAAATGATTATGATTTTGATGTGACATTTTATCTTATTAACTTTTTAACCTATTTTGTCATTTTGTGACTATTTTGGCCCAAATATAGTATCCCAAACAAGGGCTAATTTTGAATATTTTAAAATAATTTATGAGTTTTTATTTTTCGCATATTTATCATTATTAGTGAGTTTTTTTTTTTGGTATTTTAGTTAGGTTTTATTTTTATTTTTATTTTTTTAAATGCACTTAATCTAAATGTACTTTAAAAATAAAAAGTTTGTGAAAAAATCTATTTAAAAATCAATAAATACTAAAAATATAGAAAAATATATTGAATTTTTGTAATTCTTTGTATTCAGTAATTGTTTTTTATAAATTTTATACTTTTTAAATGCATCTAAATTAAGTGAATTAAAAGATAAAAAAATAAGATTTTAAATTATTTAAAAATTGCATTAAAAATAAAAAATATGAATTAAAAACTCAAGATTTATTTTTAAAATCTTCCATAACGAGTGATTGGTCTTTCACTCATTTTCCAATCTTATTAAACACGCCTTGTTTAAGAAGTAAAATTTTAATTAAAAATGTATTACAAGTAATTAAATCATTTTTTTAAAACTTTTTTTATAGGTATTTTTGTAAAAATTAAAATTATTAAAAAAAATGTCAATTTCTAAATATAGATGGAACAAGAATGATGTTTCACACGTGTGCACAAGTGGACTGCTATTTTTTGATGATGGATAATTGTGTCATAAACGAAAGAAGTTCGTAAATTTGATAATTAAGTGACATTTTTTAATCACATAATTAAGATAAACAAGAAATGCTAAGCGGGACCTCTTCCAATTTTTTATTTATACATAAATCAAATACAAAATTAGACCCAACTTATAAAATTTACAAAATGAATAATTTTATCTAATTTTATAATCGATGTGTTTTTAATGTTTTTGAGGTAAAAGAGGACTAGAGATTGCATTGTTTGGGAAGGGCTAAAGTGACTATTTTAGTCACAAAAAATAAAATAAGTTATTTTAGTCACAAAAAATAAAACATCACATCTAATCCATAATCATTACACTCTTCTTTTACAAAAAAAGTCAAAAAATTTAAAAATTCTTTCCGAACTAAATTTTTTAACTCAAACTAAAATAATCAAAAAAATTAAAAAATTAAAAAGCCAACTTACTTTTTTAATGAAGGCTTAATAAATTGGGAAGGATATTGTTTTGCCATTGTGGGGGCACCTCACCTCATTCATGTTCCATAATTAAATTATGGACAATGGACTTGCCCAAAGTTACTACAGTACACTACTGTCATCTCCATATCAGGTTTTCCACACTATTGTCATGGTTGGGACAAAAAGCCAAAACAAATGGTTAATGGTTTCAACATTTTGACAATGAGACACAAAAATAATTTATGGCAGTGAATTATTGTAGCAGTACAAAATTTGACAGTGCTTTATTAAAGAATAATATAGAGCTATGAAGAAGTTGGTCCTAGGTAACGACAGGCACCTGCATTATAATTGAGGGAGGAAGTAAAATTTATAATTTTATATTAAATAATTAAAAAATATAAAAAAAATATGAGAGTTTATGATTGGTCTAAAAGATAATTACATAGTAATCGAGAATCAACCAATTATTTTTCAGAACTATCATATTGGTCTAAAAGATAATTGCATTGTGAATTTTAGACTTCATTAAATTAGGATTTTGTTATGGGTGTGATTTAATTTTTTTAGAAAGATATATTCTCTATGGAAATACATGTAATAAAGAATGTATAATATTTTAAAGTATTTTTATCAATGTGTTCTAAGAATACACGTTAACAAAAATCTATTAATTAATAATTAATTTGATTAATGTTAGTTAAAAGTCCTACATGTTAGAACAATCTTCTGTGTAATAAAAATAATTTGAAACCAAATCAAATAAGTAAAAATAAATTACTTACCGAATTTATTTACCGAAATGATTAAGTACAAAAATAGATCAAGTCGAGTGTGTGATATTCTATCCTTAAGACAGATTCGCCCTGTTTCGGTACTTACGGGTAAAAGGCGTCTATCTCCCAAGATACAATGATCTACACAGATTGTAGTAGCACTCCAAATAATCTGTATGGCGAACCAAACTTGTGTTCTATACTCTCAGAATTTTTCCTCAAATAATATGAAGAATATATCTATACAAGAGAGCAAAATGAAAACAAGAAGATGATTTTCGGAATTAATGAAAAATGCTGGAAGATTGTTTGTATTCATAGGGCCGAATAGGTATGATTTCAAACCTAAACAGATATGAATTCAAACTGGAACAGGTGCAAGATCTGTTTGAACCCAGTTTTGAAACTGTCTAGAACAAAACTGAATCTGTCCGGTGCAACAGGTTACAAACTGTTTGAACCTCTTGAAATGGAACCGACAGAGGCATTGTATGGACAGAAAATTGAATTCAATTAATTTCGTTTAGAAAAAATAAATTTCCCGCAAGAATTTTTTGCAAAAAAAATCAAATAAATTTTGTCCAAAAAATTAATATTAGAACCGACCTAACCTACAACCCACACCCGCACCCGGCATGACCGATCGGACAGATACCAGCGATCGCGTGTAGCGGTTTGGGCTAAGGCCCACTTTGTCCATAGCTCTTCCCTTCTACAAACTTAGGGTGTCCTTTGGGACCCAACCCAAGTATTGCCACCTAGAACTTATATACATATATAAATTTTCTTAAGTTTTCAATGTAAAACAACCATTACAAGAAAACCCACTTTTGACTCTTCAATTTCCTGTTCTACGAACCCGAAAACGACGACAAGTTCTCATTTACTCATAAATGATTTTAACGAACCGTCTTCACCGTGTGACTTGCCATGCGGCAAAAAACACGTCACCTCTTTGGACCCACCTCAAAAGACATTTGGAACCCACTCAAAATTGGGCTCAAAGTTGGCCCAAAATAAGCCTATAAAACCATATCTTTCCAACAATCCCCCACATAAATAGAATTTGATGGAAAGAAAATGAAACAACATGATCTAATTACAGAGAGTACAGAAATTGGGAATATTCTACAAAGGATAGGTAATTTTTGGCTTTGAACCTTCCCTTATAAGACATTATCGAATTTACTAGCTAACCAGTAAACATGATGTCTTGAACAGTTCAGTCATTTGTGTAAATCAAGATAATAGAACTCACACAGTATAGAACGGTTCAATCATTTGTATTCATTTTGGCCCTCAACAACTTAGTCTTTCATGAGTGCTCTAGAGAATTATAACCCTTTACAAATCTCATAGAACCAGCCCAATTCACACTCATATAGGTGATTCTTATGAAGAGTATCCTGTCATACTCCACTAGGTATTCCTAGATATAAGAATCATTAAAAGTATTTACTTAACCTAAAATATTGCAGACATCACTATTTTATCATAGAAATGGGTAGAAGTTTGACTCCCCAGTGATTCTTATAAGTCATACGCAACTCGGTTGTCTCTTTAAACCTAGATCTTGGGATCTCCAGTCAGCTAGGTTGGGTTGCCGTTGTGGTAACTCTTATTTAATAGGCTTAAGTCACATTCCCCTTAATGAATTCTCAACTAACTCTCTTACTAACCCTTTGGTTAGTGGATCAATTATGTTGTCTTTAGACTTTACATATTGAATGAAAATAATTCTATTAGAGAGTAGTTATTTCACGGTGTTATGTCGACGACAAATGTGTCGTGACTTACCATTATATTTATAACTATGTGCTCTACCTATTGTTGATTAGGTATCACAATGTAAGCATATAGCAGGCACCACTTTTGGTCACATTGGAATATCTTCAAGGAAGTAGCGAAGCCATTCTGTTTCTTCTCCAACTTTATCTAAAGTTATGAATTCTGATTCCATAGTAGATCTAGCAATGCAAGTCTGTTTGGAAGATTTTCAAGATATAGCGGCCCCACCAAGAGTAAAGACATACCCACTGGTGGATTTTTAGTCTCTAGTATCCGATATCTAATTTGCATCACAGTATCCTTCAAGTACTGCTGGATATCTAGTATAATTAAGTCCGATGTTACAAGTAAATCGGAGAAATCTTAGAACCCTTATAATCGCTTTCCAATGTTCTACTCCTAGATTACGTATATCTACTTAGTTTACTTACTGCATAAGTTATATCCGGGCGAGTGCAGTTTATCAAGTACATTAAGTTTCTAATAATTTGGGCATACTCTAATTGAGAAATACTTTCCTGTACATTTTTAGAAAGAAACAAATTAGCATCCACAGGTATTCTAGCAAGATAATCATCATATTTACTAAATTTGTCAAGTATTTTCTCAATGTAATGAGATTGTGACAAAGCATAACCTTCTGATGTTTTGGTAATTTTCATACCAAGAATTACATCAGCAATTCTCATGTCTTTCATGTCAAAATATTTATTCAACATTTTCTTGGTAGTTTTAATCATGTCACTGAGCATATTATCCACATAAAGACGTACTACTACATAACCTTTGTCTATGTTTTTAATATAAACACATTTGCCACATTCATTAATTTTAAATC